GTCGATGTACTATTTATGATGTTGAAAATGGTTCTGATACGATGTTGTGCGGTGTAACTCTCGTTTATGTTGGTTTGTATGTCTAAGTAGTGTTGTATGTTCGTTGGTGATAATAGTAGAAACTTTGTATTGTTGAGCTGCTGAGATCTGTCGTGAAATGATGTGTGTTTGCAGGGAATATTCGTTAAAATAAATAATATGGTGGGAATGTTGTTGTCCGAAATCTGTATGAAGTGTTTGGCATGTCTTATGAGTCTTTGATTATATCTAGCAATGCTTAATGTTTGCGGATGTTGGATAATGAGTGCTTGGGTGATTTGTATTGGACTGCTGTCGTTAAAAAAAATTGTTGACTATGCTCTGTTATAACTGAGCTCACTGTGGCGCTGTTGTTGAGAATTGATATATTGTGGAAGCATGTTTGGTTTACTGTTTTACTATTAAAATGATGTTTATGTTGGGGAAGCATGCTGATTTGTGATGGTGAGCTGAGAGATGCATTGAGAACATACTAGTGGTGGTGTTGTTGATGAGCGTTGCGTGGGTGGGTGTTATTAGGGAAGTAGTACTGAAATCCTGGCGGAAGGCTAGAATTGATATGTGGAGTTATGACAGTTACGAAGTGAATGGGTGAGTGTCAGGGCCTCGGGTATAAATGGTCGGGGGTCGATGCGAGGAGTCTTTCGAAAGGAGAACTATTGGGGCCTTGGGTAAAAATGGTCAAGGGCCAATAGATTGTAAGACATCGAGGCCTCGGGTATAAATGGTCGAGGGTCGATGCACTAGTGTCGGGGCTCTGGGTATAAATGGTCAGGGGCTGACACTACCAACAGAACGGTCTTGGAAAGCTTGGATGGATGAGATGAACTTAGAGTTGCCTGAAGCGCTAGGGCGCCATGTGAACTGTAGTTGATTTGTTTACGATTGTGGTTAGCATCGGGTTATTTAGAACACGTTCATGATTGAATGTATGAGGTCATTGTGGAGCATGTCTATAATTGTTCGCATACTGTAATGATAGAGTATGACGATGTATGTTTCCCTTATGTTTTGAGCATGACGATGTATGTTTTCTTTATGGTTTTTGAGCGTGATGTGTGTGTGTGCTTGATGAGGGCTACTTACGGAGTATATTTTATATACTCACCCCCCCTTCTACAATGATTGTTTCAGGTGAAGGACTCGAGGGTGATCTTGMTGATGGGACGGGGGAGACCTGACAAACGAGGACTATAGGCTGCTTAGTTTTTTTTTCTTATTTAGTCTAATTCTTTTGTTATGGCCTTATGTTGTGGTCAATAAACGGATTATGTACCTTTGACTAATTGGGAGATTTTTCCTTGTTGTTAGTTATGTCTCGGTTAGGTGCCTATTTGAGCTTTATCCCATTTGCTTAGGTTCATTTAGATTGAATACTAAACTTGCCTCGTGAAGTAGTTCACGAACGTTGTTGCATTTTTTTGAGATTGGTTACCGTTAATTTGATGAGGTTTGTAGCTTGATTTTATAAGTTTATGTTCAAAGGAAGTTGGAAAGTTGTAATCGGGGCTAAAACTGATTAGTTGGGTAGTTCATGTGACTTGGAGGTGCGCGAGATTTCTGGGTCGTTACATAGTAATTTGTCAAATTTCTCATTCAACAAATGCCTCATTTTCGAGATTTATGCGCGTATATGTGTGTGTGGATCATGAAAAAGAAAAAAGGTAATATATGACTTTTGATCAAAATATGAAGTATGATTCATAAGTTTGATTTAATGTACATATCAGCTGTGACGCCAACTTTTGATTTTGATTTGATTTTTTTTTATTTTGTGACAAATAATCCAAATTAATAATTTTGGCTATAAAATTTTGATTTTTGTCTTTGTGCCAATTCTTTTTGCACAATTTTTATCATCAGTCAAATTTCTACTCCTAATTTGAATTTTGGAGTAGAATATTTCGATAAAGTATGAAATTTAAGATTTGAAACATGTCAAAAATTGGACAAATATTATGCCACAATTTTTTTCACGATTTTGGGTTAAATTTGATTCTTTTTTTCCTTTTTTGGTACAACCTCCGTATTTGATTTGAGCAAAGAATTTACGAAAATGAATAACTCTTTGGCAAAAAAGGAATCTAATTTCAATGGAAAATAAATCATCCAACATTTGATTTCAAACAAAATTTGTGATTTAAATTTTGTTTAAATTTTGGGATCTGCCAAAATTTTTTAACAATCCATGGGCCTTGACCATCCCAAATAGATTTGCTAATTTTGCGGTCAATTTTCCAACATTTTGCCGGCGATACACTTGTGTTGCAAAACCAAAGAAACATCGTTACTCCCGTGGAAGCTTTCAGGTCTGCAATACTTTTTTTTTCCTTCCTTCTTCTTCTTCTTTTTTAATGTTCATGATGTATTTTTATTCTTTATGCAGTATTTCATATCATTGTTGAGGCCATAGTCTTCATTTATTCGTCTTCATATACATCGTCGGCGAGAATCTATGAGACTCGTTTATTTTTTTATTATTTTTTTCTTTTTTAAATCTCCAACTTTGCTCATGTTGCTTTATTCTCCATGCAGTCCGTTGTGTTATTGTTGTGATCGTACTCTTCCTTTGCTTGTCACGCCCGTCGTCGGACAGGTGTTGGTGTTTATTATTTAGTTGTCGATGTACTATTTATGATGTTGAAAATGGTTCTGATACGATGTTGTGCGGTGTAACTCTCGTTTATGTTG